AAGATTAAAAATTACCATCAATTGACTCTCAAGCACTAAATTACAAGTGAATCCAATTATTGACATTTAGTAACAAGTTTCTGAAAGATCTGCAGGCACAATATTAAGGGTCAGCTTATAGAAGTCTCAAATGTGTTTCTGAGAAATTCTTCAAGCTAGTTACATATGTGGAAAAATTCTACAAAAGGAGTTCAAGTAATTTGGTAACGCAAGTCCCTGAAGGTAAAAGCATCACCGTTCAATCTAATACCTATCAGATGGTTTCTTTCTTAATAGTGTACTATTAAACAGTACTAAAATTTGATAATTCAAAGGATTTTCTAGCAGAAAATAATATCAGAGGCAACCAATTCCCTTGAACTTAAGGTACAAATAATCTTCTCTTTTAGCAAGTATCCTGAAGGAGAAAAATAATTATTTTTGTAGTTATCATTCCTCTTATTTGGATATCTGTCCTAAATGTATGTGTGTGTATGGGGGAGTGGGGAGGGAGTATAGAGTTGGGAGGTTCTAGTAAGAAAAAGGAGCCTCAGTAGCACAGTGGTTAAGAGCTCAGCTGCTAACCAAAAGGTTGACAGTTCAAATCCACCAGCCAGCTGCTCCTTGGAAACACTATGGGGGCAGTTCTACTCTGTCCTATAGGGTCGCTGTAAGTCGGAACCAACTCAACGGGAAGAGGTTTAATGAGAAACAGAAAGTTTCCATATTAGTAACAGTATTACAACAATGTAACACCACCTTGTGGACAAGAGAGGTAACTGTAATACTAAATTCCTGAAGCTGACTTCCATTCCTTTGTAATAGATTAAGATTATACAGATTTTTTGGTTATGTTTTAACTGGAATCTTTATTAACTGCCACAAGGTAAAATAAATGTGTAACTAAACTGCTCCCTGTATTCTCAGAAGGAGGAAAGCCAAATAGTACAGTCCAGAAATAAAATATATCCGGCAAAAATAGTCAAAAATATTCAGTCAGCTTTGAATAAACTCAAAGTATTAGCCACGGAACACTGGAGAAGAAAAGCAAGGGCTAAAGTTTGAATCCTGAGATATTTAATCACTCTACCAATGAAGACTAAAGAATCATTGGAATTATTTATCCCTCTGAGTTTATCTCCTTTTCCATCAATTTTTCATTACCCCCTCCCCAGTTTCCCAAGGGAAACCGTGAATATTAATTATTATGACACTGTTACAACACAGATAGAAGAAAGCTAATATAATTGAGAACTGGAGAAGAAAACTCACGTTTAGTGACTCTGAATTTTTCTACCCTATGTACTTGAAAGTATATGCCTCAACATAAATAAAATATTTTTGAATTATGGCTGTCTGGGACATAAGACATTTCAGTAAGCGGTCCTCCGAGTTATACTTCAACTAAAAGCAACCATCAGAAGAGAACCTGAAAAATTATCTTTTTTTTTTTTTCTTTTTCAGAGAGGTTGAAGGTAAAATCATTAAGGACTGTCATGGTTTGAATTATGTCCCCCCAAAAAACATGTGTATCAGTTTGGCTAGGCCATGATTCCTGGT